TCAAGGTGCACCCCACATATTTCAAACATGTATTGATCATTTTTTCCCACTACTATCATTCTATTTATAGGGTCCTCGAGTTGTAAAGCCTCATCCTCCAAAATGATCTTACATTAACCATACGGAAAATGAAATGTATGAGTTTCTGGTCTCCACCGTTCAATTAATGCACTGATCAAATCGGGGACCAACCTATATTCTCTTACAAATGTTACATCATAAAATCCCACCATTTGTAAATTCTGGACAATAAGTTCATATTTCTTCTCACAAGTGTTCACTCGACTACGAAGGACTCGTTGTTCGTCATTCTTCAATTTGTTAATCCATGTAATTAGAATTAATTCATCATTCATAAATAAAATATATTATTCGATCATAATACCAATGCTCCCAAATGACTAGAAATGTGTCGATCATCTAGTCTCAAAAGGACATTTTGTTCTTCCATGCTTCAACAAATTTATAAAAAAATTAAATATTTCAAATTATAATATTAATCACAATTAAACAAAATTTAAACAAAAAATATGTTAAATCAAAATAAATAATCTAATTAATTTATATTTACAATAAAAAAAATTTAAACTAAACTTACCAAACCACTCAAATACGATTTAATCTGTAAAATCAAAATAAATAGTTCAATAATTTATATTACTTAATAAAAAAACAAAAATATAATTTAAACTAAACGTAACAAACTACTCAAATACAACTTAATACGTAAAATAAAAATAAATACTCTAATAATTATAATTTAAATTAAAAACAAAAATTAAACTAAAAATTACACGAAAATTTAAATTTAACTTACCAAAACCAGCCGAGCCTTGTGCCTATGCACAGGCCCGTCAGGGTTCTTTTTGAGCTTAAATAACCACTTTCACCCTACCACATTTCGGTCAGTAGGTAGAGGAACAAGATGCCACGTATTATTCTGAAGCAACGCTGAATACTCAACATTAACTACAACAGTCCACGGTTCTGATTGAAGAGCTTCTTCAACAGTAGATGGAACATTATCATCAAAAAATGTAGTGAAAATCTTCGGCTTAAAAACCCCGCACTTACTTCATGTTAACATTGGGTGACTATTACCAGCTGCAGATTCTGTTCTGACATCAGACAACGATTGAACCTCTTGAGCAACTTGAGGTACTAATTGAGCATCACCAGAATCTACAGACATATCAGCTGATTCACTAGATATGTTTGATCGCATGGTACTACCATCAGATGAACCTGCAGGCAACACAACAACATTTGGCACATGAACATTCTCAGTGCCGAGCTTGGTAGTATCCATAACTATATCAAGTGACCGGTTGGACTGTGTCCCAATTGATGATTGAACAACAGGTGTGCTAGTAGCAAACGGAAAATGCCACTCATCAAAGCGTACATGACGAGAGACTATGACCCGTTTATCAGGTGTTAAGCAAAGAAAACCTCTGTGTTGAGGACTTACGCCCAGAAACGTGCACGGCTGTAATCGAAAGTCCAGCTTATAACTATTGAAAGGACGCAGGCGAGGAAAACAACGACATCCAAACACCTTAAGTGAGTTGTAATCGGGCAGTTTACTAAACATACACTCAAATGGAGACCTGCCAGCCAAAACTTTTGAAGGAAAATGATTAATCAAATGTACAACCATCATCATCGTATATGACCAGTAGCTAACTGGTATAGAAGCCTGCGCAAGAAGCACCAAGGCAAGTTCAACTATATGCCTATGCTTACGCTCTACCATACCATTTTGTTTTGACGTGTGTGGGCAAGTAACACGATGCACAACTCCAGCTTCAGTAAGTACCTGAGACAACCTTCGATACTCACCACCCCAATCGCTTTGAACAACCAGAATTTTCACCCCAAACTGCGTTAGCACTAGCTGTTGAAAGAGTTGAAATGCATAAATAGCTTGAGACTTGTCCTTAAGCAAGTATAACCATGTATGCCGAGTACAAGCATCGACAAAACTAACATAGTACCTATGACCATTCGAAGCAACAGGGACTGGCCCCCATAAATCAGTAAATATGAGCTGAAAAGGTGAGTCAAACGTAGTGGACGAATTAGAGAAGGGAAGCTTATGGCTCTTTCCCATATGGAAATCAACACAAATTTCATTATCATCTTGTTCAAGATTTACATCAATCATCTTGCATACTTGCTCAAGGGTCCCATGTGCAGGATGCCCAAGGCGTCTATGCCACAATTCATACAACTTTTGCGTAGCAACAACATTATTTGCTTCGAAAGAAACTTGTTTATTATTAATGCAATCAACTCGAAATGTATAGAGCCCATCATTTTCCTGCCCTTGCAACAGCACCTCACCAGTATCTTCATCACGAACACAGCAAGATGAGGCATGAAACTCGAAATATACCCGGTTGTCCCTAGCAAGCTTAGAGACCGAGAGAAGATTTTTAGTAATCTTAAGAACAAACAGCAACTCATTCAACATCAACGCTCGAGAAGATGAATCAAAAACAGTGTTACCAATGGCTCGAATAGAAAGTGAACCTCCATTACCAATAATAAGCTTACCTGGCTCGAAGAAATCCTTCTGATTATGCACCTTGGCCGAATCTGAGGTGAAATGGTGTGAGGCCCCAGAGTCGACTACCCAGTGGTCCCTTGTGCTGGAGGCTATATGAGACTGCAGTTGAGAGGAATAACAAACCTGAGCTTCTGCATGAGCCTTTGTACATCATGTACATTCGTCCATACCACTCGAAGCAGAATCCAGACTGGAGTAGTGAACTGTCTCTGAGTCACCACGCGATACGGCACGATCAGATGACCTTCCAGTGAACGTCTGGTCAAACATGTACCAGCAGTCAACAACCACGTGTCCATTCCTCCCACATAATTGACACTGAACACGAGGTCGGCCACGGCCACGACCTCCAAATCTACCCCCAGCACCAGGCCCTGACCGACTAGATGATCGATCATGCACGCCATGACCAACAGATTTCAAGGCAGAACTGGACTGCACTCATTGGAAGGGAATCTTCTTGGGCATCAAAACCGACCAGCTGAGTTTCTGCATCGATGAGCATCGAGCAGACCTTGTCCAGTGACAAGAAGTCTTTCATGGTGGTTATGAAAGCAATGTACGGCTGATACTCGCGAGAAATACCTTTTAATATGCTTGCTACATGTTCAGCCTGTGGAATTGGACTGTCACAGGAGACCAACGCATCACATACTTCTTTGATACGTGTTAGATACACACGTATACTATCGGTTCCTTTTTTGATAGACTGAAGCTTGTAGTGGAGACTAATGACTGTTGTGGTGGATTGATTGGCAAAAAACTGCAACACTGTGCTCCAGACCGCCGTTGCCGTCTCCGTTCCAACAAATTGGGACAACAAGTGAGGGCTGATCGTGGATAGTAACCAAGACGCGAGTGCACTGTCTTGCGCCACATACTCCTCGTGCAGTTTATTTGGCACTGAATCACCACGCTCATCGACCACCGTGGCAGGAGGAGGACAAGTAACTCCGATTATCAGTCGTTCTAAGAAATGACTTCTAATAGTTAACAAGATCTGTTGCTTCCAAAGTAAGAAGTTGGATTCATCAAGAATGATATTAACCTTCTTATTTGTGAAGGATTTACCAGCAACGAACTCCATAGATCACTTGAAGCGCAGACAGTGAGGAAGAAACCTCATGAACTACCGGCGAATGATACCATATTAGGTATTGCAGTGATGCAAAACTAGAAAATATAAACTAGAATTAAAGAACTTGTTTATTAAGCTCAGCTACACTTAGTATTTATAGCTCATTTGTAACCAACTTGAAAATAACCTAACAGCTTGAAAACAGATTCGTAATTGCATTTACACACATCTCAGCTTCCTCAGATGACTGCTTCCATGCATACTCGCATATCACACACACGACACCTTATGCACACACATGCCACACACATTATACCTTGACACCACTCGAATATAGTTTAATCTGTAAAATCAAAATAAATAGACTAATTAATTTATTTTTACAATAAAAACAAAAAATAACACAATAAATTTTAAACTAAACTTTCCAAGGTACTCAAATACGATTTAATCTGTAAAATAATAAATTAGTCTAATAATTTATATTACTCAATAAAAAAATAATGTAATAATTTAAACTACACTTACCAAGTTTTACTCAAATACAACTTAATATGTAAAATTAAAATAAATAGTATAATAATTATAATTTAAATTAAAAACAAAAATTATACTAAAAATTACACGAAAATTTAAATTAAACTTACCAAGCCACTCAAATACAATTTAATATGTAAAATCAAAATAAATAATCTAATTAATTTATATTTCAAATAAAAATTAAAAAAGAAACAATAATATTTATACTAAATTTATCAAATCACTTACCATAGCACTCAAATTCTTTATTCCTTCGATCGAACTCTCCAAATTACCAAGCTTCCCAAATGCTCTCTTTCTCTCGGTCTCACTAACTTTTCTCCCTCTCCTTTCACCCAAAATCTAACTCCCCCTTGTTTTATAACACTTCCCGGTGCTCAATTATTGGTGTAATAATGACGCCATTATTATTACACCCGGTCCCCTGCTTGTCGTTGAATCTCAAGCAAGCCATGCAGCAGACGATTCAAAGGTGAAGACACCGCGTATTCTTGAAGTCCTCTGCATGGACTGAAGACGCCGTGTGTTACCGAAGTCTTCATTTTTGCCTGAAGACGTCAGATAGTCTCGGAGGCTTCATTTTTGCCTGAAGACGCCGAGATTTATTGGAAACTTTCTCCTTATACTGTAGAAATCACCTTAAATAGAGAATTAATCCGGGGACCACATTATTTTGGGAATTAAATATTCTCAACCACGTTATTTGGGCCATTTTGCCACGTTAGCTCCAATTGTCGCACAATCTTTTAAATTCCCACCGTTAAAAGTAGCCGTTACCTATTTACTTGTTTTTTTCTCCCATCTTCCTCTGCTTTGTTTTGCTTTTATCCCCGAAGCCATGGCTGCTTCTGCTCCATCTCCTCCTCCTCTTACCACGGTTCCATTTTCTTCTCTACCATTCCCCCTGCTCTGAGCTTTAATGGGTTCTTCTTATTTTCTTTCTATTTCTTTTAATACATCATTTTATTTGCCACAACTTCAGTAGCTTCTTTTTCTTCTTCATCTCCACTCTTCAGCCCAGATTCTCACAAGCGTATCTGGAGCACCCTCCGTGACCGCGTCGATGGACTCATCGCCGACCGGAACGTAAGTTTCTTTAGATTTTCCATCTTTCTGAAGCTCATTGCTATGAATAAATCTCTAAATTTTCTTTTTGGTTGCAGAATTCAAGAGAATCCAACAGAGCTAAGCGTTTGAAAGAAGATTCATTGCTTTTGCTTAAAGGCTTTGATTCTATCTCACAAACCCTCTCTCAGGTTTCTAACAACCTCGACGATGCTCTTCAGGCAATTTAAAAAAAACACAAATTCGATTTTTTTATTACTTGATTATGCCTGTTTTAAATCTGTTTTTTCCCATTTTTAATAAATTTCGTGTTGTTAATATATATTTTTGTATCCTCTATTGCATTTGGCCTTAGCTTTGTAGCTCTAATTTGCAAACTTGCTGAAGCTTTTGTTGTGTTATTAAAGGGAGCTAGTGAGCTAGCTAAACCTCCAACATTGACCGATATATTTCATAGCAACCTCAAGAATTCAGAGCCAAAAGAGGAAGACCCGAAGCCAAAAGGACTCGAATTAAGCTCGGAGTGAAGAGGAAATTTGATCACAGTGAGAGCTCAGATGATAATGATTCACAAAGCCCTAAGGGGGCGTTTGGATGGGGGAATGTGAGATTCCCATGGGAATGGAATTCACATTCCCCCGTTTGGTTACCCCGAGAATCTTATTCCCGGTAATGTAAGATTACCAATAGTGGATTTTTTGGGATATATTACCGGGAATGTCATTACCTCCATTTCTTTAGGTATTGTTGGATTACCGGCATTTTGGACTAAAATGCCCTTAAAATTTTATTTTATTTTTCAAAAATATCATTCTTCTGTCAATGAATAATAAAAATTATATGAAGGTTAAATTACAAATTTATCCTTAAATTATTTTAGATTTACAAAAAAAAATATATAATTAAAATTTTATATGAAGTTCAGGGGTTAAAATAAAATTTTATCATTTCATTAAACTTTTTTTATATTTTTAATTTTGTAAAAAAATTATATAAATATTATGAATTTAAATTTTTTAAAGAAAATATATAAATATTTTTCAACTTGTAATATTATACAAATATATAAATGACAATTTTGTCAAATATACATTCCAATAATCTTTTATTCTTTTAACCAAACACGGTAATTTTATATTCCTGCTAAGTCAACCAAACACAAAATATAACATTCACAGTAATCCTATTCCTTGGTAATCTTACATTTCTACGGGTAATCTTACATTCTGTGAACTAAACGCACCCTAAAAATAACGAGACGATGATGAAAGCCAAAAATGTAAACTTGTTCCTCCCTCTTCTTTTTAACTTGTTTTTCCACCAAACTCTCAAATTTTTAACCCTTTGTTGTTTCCATCTTACAGGTTGCGATTTCCATGGAAGCCAAGGCAGCTTCACTCGCCAGAGAGTTGAAGTCCATAAAGAACGAGTTGTGTTTCATGCTAGAGCATTGCGGGTCGTTGGAGGAAGAGAATAGGAGGCTTCGAGATGGGTTCAGCAAGGGGATCCGACCCGAGGAAGATGATCTTCTGAGGCTTCAGCTGGAAGCACTGCTTGCAGAGAAATCGAGGCTAGCGAATGAGAATGCTAATCTTGTGAGGGAAAACCAGTGCCCTCACCAGCTGGTGGAGTACCATCAAATGACTTCCCAAGATCTATCTGCATCGTATGAGCAAGTGTTGAGAGGATTTACTTGGATTTTTCATCCCCCATCGCAGAGGAAGATGAAATCCTTGGCTTGTCGTCCACTTCTCTTGATGAGTTCTTCGATGAAGAACATCATTAGGGTCTCAAATGAGAACTAAGAAATGATTTTGTTGTTTTGCTTCCACTTCCATCGATATTGGTGGGAGATGTTTATCAATGTTCTTTAATCTCAAATAATATCTAAATCTCACCATTGCATTAGAGAAGAAAACGATGTTTTCAATATGTACAAGTTATTTGAATATCTTTCATAGCACAAGCTGTAGATTTTGCCTCTGCACCAATCCTCCAAATTGTTGGCTTTAAATTATTAAAACCAACCTCTTATTTTGGTTCTGGACAAAACCTAGATTCCAAATCTCCCCAAATTCATTTTGAAATTAAACAAGAAAATCCTTAATTATTGAAAACCCTTTTCCGTCGTCGCCCAATGCTGTCGTCTCCCGGCCTCCGTGTAGTGCATCGCCCCAACCATAGTGATTGCCATTCACCTGCATCCAAAACCCCTATAATCTTTCGTTTGAAACATCGTTGTACATTCCAAATCGTCATTTGAAGTTCATTGGATAACCAAACCACCTATGTTATATTCCCTCGATTTTGAGCCCTTTTCATCACCGTGTCTCCACCGCCTAGATCATCAGAAGAGCCACCTTACTCCGACCAGAACACATCATCCCACACATAAAGAAACCGCGTCAATCGCCGTGGAGAAGTCTTCGAAAGCTTCACCGGGAAACCCAAGAAACCCCCTCGATTTTACGTTATTTTGGTGATCCCGACGATCGTGAGCTATACGACCACAACCACTGGACTCCTTGAAGCCTCGCGATCAAAACCCAACCGTTGGTGCTCCATGTCATCGTGTTTTCCTCCGATCGCAGTCGAGGTAAGCTCAGATTAATTATTCATGGTTATTCTCTGTGTTTTGGGCTCTGTATCTGAGTTGTTTTTGGGTAGAATTGGTGTTGTAGAACTTCCAGAGAAATCGTCCGACCGAAACAACCATTGACTTTGTCGCACGCACCTGTCACGCTCCACCAACATGCGTGGGCCTTGTCTTTCAGGCGAGAATTCTAGAAAACTAGTTTGATCAGACCGAACTAGCCCGAACTGGTCTAAACTGGGTCTACTTGAATCGGATGGTTTGATAAAACTGACAGAACCAAACTGTTGACTTTTGACTTGCTAGTTAACCCGACTAGAGTTGATTTTGACCTGATGTTTTTGATCAAAAAGTCAACTTTTCTGAAAGAGTCATATATTATGTGTTTCGACTTCTTGAGTTTGAATATGAGGTTTTTTTAGCCAAATTCAAACCTAATAACATGTTTTTCAGCGTTTTATCTTCTGATTTAATTCATTTTCCTGATTAAGTTTCGTTTCTGACGTAATTTCTTTTGTATTGTATCCGAGTTATTATGGGTTATCGAAATCAGGTGTGAGGGAAATCGAATGAAGTTTAATTGGTCGACTTGTATGTTTTTCAGAACTCATTTTTATTTGGTTAATGCATGAATGAAATTGTTGGGTCATTTTAGTGTATTTAATTATTCTTGGAATCGAACTAGATACATATAAAGGCAGTAAACTGAGCAATACTCGATTGAATTATACAAGAAAATTTGAAGGCCAATTAGAAATAAATTCAAGGTTAATGATTAATTGGCAAAAGAATTAGTCTCAGGATCCATAAATTCTGAATATCACCTTTGAAAGTTTTACTGTCGAAAATGCTCAGATGAAAAATTACCAAAATACCCTTGAAATTCAAATAAGCTTGACTTAACATGGAAATTTATACTGGACCTAATATAAGCCTTGAATAATTTGTTTAAGTTCTTGATCTGTTTGGAAAAGGGCTCGGATAACTCGTATAAGGGACTAGAAGGCAATTATCAAGTAATACAATTTCAAATGTTATTTTATAAAGCAATTAACTTCATAATTCTTAGATTATGATATTTCTCATTAAAATTCAAAACGTGGGATTAAAAAAAGACTGGAATACCCTTGTTCATAGAAATAGCCAAAATAACCTCAAGTTTTAAAATAATTGAATTACCTTTAGACCCTAAATGAATGAAATACCCTCGAGCCCTAAAAATAACCAAAATAACCCTAAGTACTAAAATGAACTAGATACCCTCACGACTTAAAATATGTGAATGTCTTTGGTAGATTTTGGAAACTCCGATAAACTTAAGTGTTGTATCGCCATTTAAGGTGAAGCACAACCCAAATACGTCGGTCATTCTGGATATTGTTTCCATACATAAATAAATTAAACATAATCGGAATACTTGTTCGTCTTATGAAGATCTGTTCGATGTTGATTATAAAGTAGATCCATTCAACTAGTTCAATTAGTACCAACGAGTGAATATTTGTGAAGTATCTCGACCCTAATGATTGACAAGTATTACAGAGTTGGAATTTGATTAGTTCGACTTAACTCTAGTATGATAATTCGATATAATCTTAAATACTGCAAATCATCACCCAACCCTTATTAGGTTAAATTACTAAGAATTCTCTAAGAATCAAATGTTTGAAATACCCCTGATTGCCTGAATAATGGAATCAATCTGATTATATATGAATCTTAAATTATTCTGATGTAAAGGTTCCTGAATACTTTCCCGATACACTCGAATCCTTCATGGTCCTGCAGCATCAATCTCTAGAAGCTTGATTAGCTCCGTTAGTAATCAATCCCTTTTAATAGGTACATTGTCCCTGAAATCCGATCAATTTACATAAGTTTCATGTTTTCCATTCTTGATAACTACAAGTGCCTCCAAAAAATATTTGGATCCTCTAGTGTGTTCCTTAAGTGATATTTATATGTTTTAAATATATATCTGAACTACCATGTGAACATAGTTAAAATAAGTGATATTTATATGTTTTAAATATATATCTGAACTACCATGTGAACATACTTGTTTTAACTGATTTTGAAAGCATGATTATGTTTACTAATTTTCCTGAGTTCTATTTTCACTTATATGAAATTCCTAATTTGTCTGATAGTTGTACT